ACGTTTATGTGTGCTCGATGATGCAAAGCTTAAGGAGGAAATCTTGGCAGAAGCTCACCGTAGCAACTACAGCATTCATCCGGGCAGCACAAAGATGTATCAAAATTTGCGTCAGCACTACCGGTGAAACGGAATGAAAGTGGGTGTAGCCAAGTATGTGGCCAAGTGTTTGACGTGCCAACAAGTGAAGGCACAGCATTGTAAGCCCGGTGGACAGTTGCAACCCTTGGAAATTCCCGAATGGAAATGGGAGCATATCACGATGGACTTTGTTATGGGATTACCGATGAGCCAGAGAGGTTATGATTCCATTTGGGTTATCGTCGACAGATTAACTAAGTTGGCACATTTTCTGGCAGTGCGAAAGGATTTCGCAATGGATAAGTATGCTGAGCTATATATGCGATAGATAGTCCGTCTCCATGGAGTGCCAGTGACAATAACGTCAGACAGAGACCCTAAGTTTACCGCAACCTTTTTGAAAAGTCTTCAGATTGCTATGGGGACGAAGCTGCAATATAGCATGGCCTATCATCCACAGACGGATGGTCAGTTTGAAAGGACAATTCAGACGCTCGAGGATATGTTACGAGCGTGCGTTATAGACTTTAAAGGAGGTTGGGAAGAGCAGTTGCACCCGTCGAGTTTGCCTACAACAACAGTTATCATCAGAGTATCAGAAGCAGAGCCATAAAACTCCAGTTTGTTGGGACGAAGTTGGGGAACGGAGTATAACGGGTCCGGAATTGGTCCAACAGTCAGTCGAAGCAGTTAAGGTTATTCGGGACAGACTTAAGACTGCTCAGAGTCGTCAGAAGAGTTATGCGGATCGGAGATGTAGGCCCTTGGAATTTCAAGTAGTGGATCATGTGTTTCTCAAGGTTTCACCGATGAGAGGGTTGTCTCGGTTTGGTAAGAAAGGGAAGTTGAGCTCGAGGTACGTAGGTCCATTTGAAATATTGGAAAGAATCGGAAATCTGGCCTATCGTCTCGCGCTACCGCCAAATTTGTCTCAAGTGTATAATGTATTCCACGTGTCTACGTTAAGGAAGTACGAGCCGGATCCGACCCACGTGTTGAATTATGAAGAAATAAACGTGGACGATAGAGTGTCGTACATGGAAAGGCTAGTAAGGATCGAGGACAGAATGGAACGAGTGCTGCAGAACAAGACAATTCCGATGGTCAAAGTAATTTTGGAGCACCATGGAATCGAAGGTGCGATGTGGGAAAGCAAAGAGCTGATGCGATACCAATACCCCCATTTGTTCGAAGGATTGAGTTGAATTGTAAATTTCGAGGACGAAATTTTTGTAAGGGGGGAAGAGTTGTGACATTCCGAATTTCGGCCCATTTTTGGGATTTATAAAACGTGTAATTCGTTAGTCTGCTTATAGTAAAATCTCGCCCGGGAACTGATCACTCTCGGTTATTGTTTTTAAAATTGAGATTTCGCTAGAATCGCATTCGATCGAATTTGGTCGTTATTTAGAGCCCAAACGTTGGTGTCAAATTTCTCGGAGTTCCGGGACGAATTTAATTGGACGGTGTCGATATTATTGTGGCCAGCCTCGATATTGCCCGGGATATGCGAAAAGTGAAATTTTGACCGGGTACTGATTTGGACTAGTAGACCTCCCTCGTAGTGTGTTTTAGTTATTATCTTTTAGCCATTTTCCTAATTTATAATTAGGGTTTTTCGTAGGCCATTGGATCATTTTCGGATTTGAACGATGATCGTCGGATCGCACTTATGTGCATTTGACTTTCTCTCTCCCCTCTCTCTCTCCTCCCCCACGTCGCCGCTGCCCCACGCCGCTGACTTCCTCTCTTCCTTCACGCCCGCTGACTCCCCCACGTTGTTTCTGCCACCACTCTGCTGCAGCTTCTGCTTCACGCTGCTGCTCCCCCCATGCTGCTGCTGCTGATTACTTCTGCTTGCTGACCGCTGACACCCCTTCTTCTGCTGACTTGTTGACCTCTCCTCCTTGCTGACTTCCTCTGCTGACCTGCCGCTGCCCACGCCTTTGCTGCTGCTGCCCATGATGAACTTCACATGCTGCTTCGGTTCTGCCCTTTTACCGCTGCTTCTTCACTTCTGTTGCTGCTGTTTTCTTCTTCATTTTGCTTCGTTGCTTCTTGCTTTTTCTTGCTGCTGCTCACCAGACCGACCAGGTCCCTTGCTCAGCCACCCTCAGCCGCCGTGAGCGCCGCCACCCGCCGCCACTCATCTCAGCCACACACCACCACCGAGCTCACTCTCTCCCTTCCCTTCCATTCGCCCATCCCGTCACCACCACCACTCAGCATCACCAGCACCTTCGTCCATCTCCACCAGCCAACCACCTCAGCCGTCCGGCGACCGCTCGCCGCCGTCCAGGTTGCCGGAAATTGCCGAGCCACCCGTCTGACCGCCGGAGCAACTGCTGCTTGCTTGGCTTGGCTTTGTTAGGCTCCCTAGCTTGAAAATCTTGCTTAGGCCTTGAGTAAGTGGCTTCCTAACCCTTGACTAGGCTAAGGGGTGACTAATGGACATGTTAGGGAGGGTTTAAGGGCTGTGGATAGTTGGTTTAGTGGCTGGTTGTGCTTGGTTTGCTCGGTGGTGTCTGTTGGTTAATTTCCGGTAAGGTTGCTGCTGCGTCGCTGGATTTTGTTATTTTTACTGTGACTTGTGTGGGCCGAATTTGAGGAAGTGTTCTTCATGAAAGTTGTTCATAACATCTTGAAGTTTGACATATATTAAATCTGGAATTTTTGGAGATCATTTAGTTCCATTCGTAATTCCATTTTTGGACCGAATTCAGTCTGCCGGATTTACTGTTCATCCGACCATCTGGTCTCTCCGATTTTCTACAAATTTTTTCAGACCTCTTTTCAATAGACTTCCTTCACAAAAATTGTTAAGAACATTTGTTTCTATGACATATAAAAATTTGAAGGCTTTCCAAAATGATTTGGGTACTGGATGAGATGCATTTTGATGGTCAGGCGGCCTGACCGGACGGGTTGAATTTTGTCTGACTTCAAATGACAAAAAGAGGTGTTTACAGTAGGAACTGGGTTTCGAGTTCTTCACAGAAAATGTTTATCAAGATGTTTTCTGCGATATATCCAAATTTCAGAATTTTTAGAGTTGATTTACTATTTATTTTAAAGGAAATTCGGTGACTATGTTACTGCCCAGTTTGGCCCCGATTCTGTGCATACTCGGTTTTTCTCTCTCTCGGGAACTGATCGGTGTTACCATGACATTTTGGTGGATTTAGTTGACATTGGGCTAATTTACAAAGATAAGAATTGGTAATGATTGTTGAGGTGTGTGCATGGTCACGACATGTTCCGTCTAGGCGGGAGTTCTAGACGATGCCCGGCGGGAGTTCGGATGCCGTCTAGGCGGGGGTTCTAGACGTTGCCGATCGCGGTAGAGGCCGGATCGATGCTCCTTTGTGGAATGCCGTCTGGGCGGGGGTTCCGGACGTTGCCGTCGCCGAAGTAGCGGGACGATGCCTGGTTACGCCAGAAGACCGGCGGGAGTTCGGTGGCCCGAGGGGTCGTTAATAATCTGGACTTAATGAGTGCGATTTGCATTGGGGAATGCTTTGCCTGAGTTAATTGATGAGCACGTCTGGATTATTAACCATGTTATGCTTGATCATGCCATGAATTGCTTTGCGCATGCTTGATGGGCAATTGGCCATGTTATGGCGATATTCTAACGTACAGGGCTCACGTATGTGCCGAGGCGAGGTAAGGGCGCCTGTGATTGTCATGACATGTTGGATGTCGGTATTGCGTGTTTAGAATTGTTCGGAAGTACGCTTTGGCCTAAGCGAGGCTTAGGTAGTTGCTTATTGAGAAGTGTTCTCATGGTTGTATAACCAAACCATTTCAGACCCGCGACCGTGATTGATCCGGAGACGCTGCCAGGATACTACGGGGATTGAGGATAGGTCGAGTTACCCCGTCTTTTGAGTGCACCTTTTTGTAGAGGAGTTAAGCTTACCAATCACCCGATCCTTGTTGTTGTGCGTGGTTCGTAGATAGTGGCCTCGTAGAAGGCTTGCAAATGTATGTGTTGTAATCGACGTTATGTTTATAAAAGTGTCTTGTTTATGTGTGTTCTTTGTCTTTCTACTATCCCATTGTTTATATGTTGTACGGAGAGTTCGAGGTTGCTTCCGCATGCATTACTCGTTAGTGTTTCGATTGGGTCGGCGACAAGTCCTGGGCTGTCGCGTACATTACGACCACAAAGGGATGATCGCGCGCTCGTAGGGTTCGTGGCGTGACAATTAACAACGCAGTATAAACTAATTATGACACCGCAACTTCCAACAGATCATTTCTAATTATTCGTTGCGTCTAAACGACGACATCAACAATTTCATATTCGTGTACATTTGTTTGAAACAATGGAGGAAATTCACAAGCTTCATTCGTCCTTGACCTCCTTTCAACTAAAGGCCTCGTCAGTTCTTGCATCTCCAATAGGTCGTGGAATATTGATGATGGGAAGTGACAAAGCCAAAAGACTCTGTTTTGGCATGGGCGGCCGCGACGGAGATAAGCAGGGACACGGCGAAGTAGGGACCTGGTGAACGCATAGGATCGCCGCTTTTGGTCCCATTTGGGATTCTTGAGTAGATTAATGATACATATTGTACGTCTAATCTGTGTCGTTCACAGACTATCTCTCTTCTTTCTTAAGTAATTGTTTGAATCTCATTCATGTTTGTCATATGACCGGGGGGATTGTGTTATAAATGAATGGCATTGAAAAGAAGCAAACACCTTGGCACAATTACCTTTTATTATGTCCGACACGACAAAGTGAGATGGCATTGTACATAGCAAATTGGATCTAGACAAATAGGGTGTACATTTGGAAGATAAATATACAAACGAACATATTTATGATGTACTTATATATTTGACATATCAAACTTTGTTACTCCGAAAATGTGCAAGTAACCTTCGATGGAAGCAATTGTCCAAATGCGGTTTATGTGTAATGTCAATAATTAAATTAAGATAGGAGTGGTGGAGATGTGAAGCCACCGTAGATCAACCCGTTGGCGACGTGATGATAAGCAGACTCGGTCAAGTGATTCCCATCCCAATCGACGAAAGCCGATGGATCTTTGCAAACAGTTGAGCCGGGGTCACCACAAGTTACTGAAGCATTATAGTGGTATGGACCACTGCCTCCACAACAAGCCTTTAGTGCCCCTCCATAAAAGCCTGCGTCAATGCACCCATAAATTTGAACAGATTAGGTAACTATATGGGTTCTTGTCAATGACATCAAACCAAAATGTGCTAATGTTACGTATGTCATTTGGTGTATTTCATGAAATTGACGAAGCACTAGGGTTTTTCTTTCCAAAAATAGTATGGGAGTTTCAAATCAAAATTATGTGCTCATGTTACGTATGTCATTTGGTCCGTCCAATTTGATGAACAAGTAACATGTATGTTCCAGGCTTCCAGCTTTAATTGGAACAAAAAACTGTGGGAAACAAAAAACAAGTCGGTTTTCATTTGATGAACAGACCGTGTATGTTCTTTTTTCTTTAATACAAAGCCATCTTTATAGATACGTATCTTGATTGTAATCTGAAAATAAATCTATAATTACTTATACAAATGGTGATGGACGAGATATGCGGAAAATAAAAGTCATACATCTACGATTTATTACAAGAGTATCAGTTCAAGCAAAAAATATGCAAAAACATACGTATTGTCTGCGTTCTGTTTTGATGCTGGGATAGATCTGTTCTTGTGAAGTGCTTATCACAGCAGTTGCGCTTTATTGTTCTACTTTTCCCTTTGGAATTTGCTTTGTTTTGAACCTCTCATGTTTCATCTTGAGATCTTAAGATATGAATGAAATATTTTCTTTTGACAAAAAAAAATGAAATTTGAGAGGAAAAAAATAAAGGTGAAAAGAAGGCTCACCGTAGTGTTTTGGAGTGCGACAAATAGGTATGGAGGCACCATAATAATCAGCGTAAATAATTCTTGCATGAGGGTATTCTTCTCTCAAATTTTGCAATTCTTCCTTGAGGTAGTTATTGTGGTACTTGATGAAATCATTATAAGCCTTGAGACAACCAGTTCTTGGGTCATATGCCGATCTGTTGGGGCTGTGACACAAAGTTAGAAACATGGCGGAACAGCTTATTGGAAATATTCCTGGCACCATCAGATCCACTGCTCCTTCTTCTATCAGTATCTGTCATGGTTATGATGATTCAAGGAAAAAAAGAAAAAAAAAACTGAAACTTGATAAAAGTGAGAAATAATAATAATAATAATAAAGCAATCTCGAGACATATCACGTGGATCATTTTGTAAGTATACGTGAATCACTTTTGGGAACCGCTTCACGCACCATGGAGATCATCATACGTCTGTTTTTCTTTTACACATTTTCTGCATGCTATTAAAAGGTGGATTAATCACCATTTAAGTCATATACAATGCTTCTTTGTGACATTTTAACTTTGTCTTGATTATTGGTTTTGGTGTTTATATTTAGTACAACTACAAAAATAAGAAGTTTCTCAAGACAGTGTAGTGATTAAGGCATTTCTCTATCATTATCAATTTCAACGTGCTCATAGATAAAACGTAATGATTCAGAACAATCCTTTAATTTTATAAACGGGAATTTAACGTTAAGCTTGCGCTGAAATAAGTTTGTGTGTAACATACACGGATGGCACGGGCGATTGCTCCAACGACTTGTGGTACCAAAGGACGTATCTGTTTAATGGTTCGACCAGATACTAAGGGATTGACTAAGTCATTGCCACCAATCTCCCCCACCAGAAACAGAGACCTCTTGAAGTACTCATCACATTCTGCACCCAAAAAATTAAAAAGTTATAGCACATGTTTCATAAATCAAAATCAATCATAAAAATCAAGCAATCAGTAATGCCTTTAACCTCTTTTTTGACAATAAAAGGTAGAAATATACCTTGTTTGGTGGTGCAAAGAGACGACTTCAAATTCTTGAACCAGCCAAGCTGAACACTCAACGAGTCATTGGTCAACAACTTAAGATTCTGAGCATAGAAGAAAGACGAGTCGATTGCTGTGGCACCAACAACTGCGAAGTTCACTCCCGTGCGGACATGTGGTCCTTTGGCCAATGCCAGATATGGTGGAAGATAAGGCAGTCCAAATGCTTCAGCTGCATTCTCATATATTTACGTTCATCGTGAGATTATAAATACTGTATCAGAAGCATTAAAAATGAAAGTTCCTGCTAGAAAACAAAACCGCATTTTAAGTAGGAATTATATTAGATACACAAAGCTGTCTGAAAAAGCAATTACATAAGCCAGATGAAACTATGTTCGTATGAGATAGCATTGTGGTGATATGCTGTGGTTGAGTTATTAGTCAAATCGTTCTTTCCGAGATCTTAATCTATTAAGGAATGGATGGAAATGCATTTATACCACATGGCTTAATATGAGTGATCGAAAAATGTACATTAGGAACTTAAAAGAGAGAGTATGGAATACCTATGAAATCGATAATTAGGCGTCCGTTCGAGCATCGACCGGTCGCGTGGTGGAAGAAAGTCTCGCCGTAAGGGAGCTTTTTAATTTCTGGAACAAGTGCCCCGGAAAGGAGGAAGTTTCCAGTGTCGCTCACAGAGTCGCCAAAGTTGAAGATTGCATCGTAGCGCCCGGGGCTCGACAAAACGAACTTTGAACAGAGGCAGCAGAGCAAGAATAAGGCTACTATCTTCTTGGCTTTCATGTCAAACAATACTTGAAAATTTTGATGAAGGAAGAGTCTGCTTGGGGTTGTGCTTGAGCCCTTACGTTATCTCAACGAGAAATGGCACCCTTTTATAAAATGGGCAAAGCCCTTATGGAATCCTATCACATGAGTCACATGGGCAAAGAAACCCTGCTTATTTTAGAAGCCAAATCATAAGGACTATTTGCAACTTCGAGGCGTTGAATCCTTCATAATAATTTTGATTAACGAAAGTATTCTTTTACAACTTAAAAGTAGTAAATTTGTTATTTGGGGGAATAATTTAGTTACGTCACCCTTCTTAAATTTAAATAAGGAATAACTCTAGGTGAAAGTGATCCGACTTTCGATACATAGTTAGAATGATAAGCCATTACTAAGAAGAAAAAACTATAGAATATCTTCCATTACTCCACCTCAAGCTGGCATGTGAATAATTTGGATTCAAGTTAGCTGATAAAGAAAAATTGATCCTTGCTTAGTGCCTTACCAAGCACATGAGCAACGTCATTGATAGTAGATATTGAAAGACTTTGTACAACGACAGCTTGTAATTTTTCCTAAACAATATGACAATCAATATCGTTCTGCTTTTTGCGCACGCAATACTAGGAGGAGCCTAATTGTCACAGTAGAGTGGAAAGATAGAAGTGATTTAATGGGCTGTAATAGTGATTTTACGATGGGAAAATGACACAAATATTTCCTAAACTTTGGCTCAATGTGCAATGTGTCCCTGAACTTTTAATTTGTTCAATGTAGTCCCTAAACTTTAACCTAATGTGCAATGTGGTTCCTAAACTTTTAATTTGTTCATTGTCTTCCTTGAACTTTTGATACATGTTCAATTTAGTCCCTGAACTATATGAAAATATTCAATATAGTCCTTCCGTTAGTTCAAGTTCAGGGACTATATTTAATATTTTCATATAATTTAAGAACTACATTGAACACGTACCAAAAGTTCAGGGACTACATTAAATAAATTAAAAGTTCAGGGAACACATTGCACATTAGGCCAAAGTTCAGTGATTATTTATGTCATTATCTCTTCCACGACAATTGGCTTACGCCGGGGAGAGAGATACCAACGTTTGCTTTTCGTTCTTCCATGAAATGAAACTTGAGCCGATAAAAATGCAGTACACGAAAGTAGAACTTGATTTGGCACACTAACATCTGGGAAAGGAATAGGCAAAACAAGAGAATCTATCATGTTTTGCCTGACAAACAAATGTGGGGCATATCGTGTTGTGAATGCTGCCTCCAAACACTTAAGACATAATATCAAGGGCAAAAGTACACTACAAGTGTCATAACTTGTGTACGGCGATCATTTTGGTGCCACAACTTTTTTCGGATCACTTTGATGCCAACTTTTTTTAAAAACGATCACTTGAGTGCCAATGCTGACATGGCACGTCGGAAATCTGATGTGGCTCCTTTTTATTAATATTCGATGCTGAGATGGCTGGCCGGAGAGTCCAGTCAGCCCTTATAGCGAAAACGACGTCGTTCAACCTTTCTCCCCCCCAATATAGGAACCCTAAATCGGCTAATTGGACATATTCCCCAATTGCAAACCCTAACCGGCCATATTATTTCCTTGTTTTTCCCGAAATTGACAGCTGAAGGTTGCAAATGGATGACAGGAGCTTCACTAGCGGCTCAAATTCGTTTGAATGAAGTGAAGAAGAAGGTCGGTTCTTCTGCTATTGTGGATTACCAAGTCCAAGAAGAACATCTTGGACTCGATTGAACCCCTGGAGAAGATTCCATGGATGCGCTAGGTATAGAGAAGGCTCGAAGTGCAAATTCTTCAAGTGGGTTGATGCGAAATTTTTAGATCGAGCAACATAGGTGATAGTGAAGCTACTTAAAGCTCGACATCAACCTCCACCTATATTAATGGACGAGTTGGACGATGTCGACTCATTGCAAGTTGAAATGAAGGCTTTAGCATTTCTGGCCAACCGTTTGAAGAAGGAAGTTCAAAGGATGAAAATCGAAAGAAAGTGTTATTGATTGTTGATTGTGTTATTGATATTTTTTATAGCCTATTTTATGGTCAAATGTAATGTCAGTGATGAGTAAAAGTTTCTTAGTTTATCATAATTTAAGATAGGCTTGTACTATGTACTTGTATTTGGCAATTTGTAGCTACGGTTGTGTTATTAGTTTGCTGCAATTTATGTACGTAACAAGAGGTTTGCTGCAATCTATGACAAATGAAAGGTTGGAATTTATTGGTTCTCAATGTTGAGTTGCTTAGTATTTTGTTGCTGCATATTTTGATGCAGTTTTGCCTCATTGGCAGCATATTTTGTTGCATATTTTTGCTCATTTGCTATCTTTTGCTGTACTTCCTCATTTGCAGCATATTTTGCTCATTTGCTGTCATTTGCTGCACTTCCTCATTTGCAGCATATTTTTGCTCATTTGCTGCATATTTTTGGTCAGTTGCTGTCATTTGCTACACTTTCTCATTTGCAGCATATTTTACTGCATATTTTTGCTCATTTGCTATCATTCTTGCACTTCCTCATTGGCAGCATATTTTTGCTCATTTCTTTGTCATTTGTCATTTGCTGCACTTCCTCATTTGCTTCATATTTTTGCTCATTTGCTGCATATTCACTTGCTCATTTGTTGTATTTTTTTCATCTGGTTAGATGGTTGCATATTATGGAGTAAGGCTCACTACTGAAAAATGAGGTGCTGCAAGTGCTGCAACTCTGCATAGCAGCAAATTATGAAGTCGTCACAAGTTCAGCAGTTGACATTTTAGTGCCAAATGTTTCTAATCGTGATCACTTAAGTGCCAGTCGTGGTTCAAAAGTGATCACTTAAGTTCTAGTCATGGTTCAAAAGTGATCACTTAAATGCTAGTTGTGGTTCAAAAGTGATCACTTAAGTTTCAGTCGTGGTTCAAAAGTGATCACTTAAGTGCCAATTGTGGCCGAAAGTTGATCACTTAAGTGTCATGCCGTGTGTTTCTTTGAAAAATGGAAACTTTGGTTCCAACAAACCAATCTTTAAACCAGATCATTCCAGAATCAAAGCAGTAACTATACCAGCATTGCTCACCAGCACCAAACCGCCCCAAACCATACTCATCAACTGGTTCAAACAGCCCCCAAACCATATTCAATCACCAGCACCAAACAACCCCTAAACCATATTCAAAAACCGGTTCAAAATGCTTGCACCAGCACGTGCTAGCGTGCTGGTGCGAGCACTATACTGCACTCCCAAATATGACAATATCAGCAGCTACCATACTATACTTCCAAATAGTACAAAATCAGCAACTAGTGCAAACACCATACTGCACTCTGAAACAGCACAAAATCAGCAGCTGGTGCAAGCACCATATTGCACCTGAAAATAGCACAAAAAACCAGCACTAGCAGCACCAATTACCACCCTCCCCACCAACTGCATCAGTAAGTTTCTTTGAATATTAACTTACTGATGCAACTTGCAAGCACCCCACTACACCAGTACTATACTAAAACAGAACAAACACGTGTGCAAAAATATGAAAATCACAACCACCTTAACCACGGTAAACATCGAATTTAGTCACTACACACAACATCCCATTAGTCAATAACATTCCAGGACCACAAAAAATCAACCTCCTATTATCCAATACGGTAAACCTCCCTAATTTCACAAAAACTAACAATCACCTCAACACCCTCCCATTAGTCAATAGCGATAAGTCCACCATTTCCTTTTCCTTTCGACGGCTTCTTGAATTGATTCATAATTCTTTGACTCTTTCGAGCTGAAGGAACTGCAGGATATTCTTCTGAAGATGCAGGTTCTTCAATAGCTGGAGCTGCTTCTTCTTGAATTGCTGGAGCTGCATCTTCTTCAACAACTGGAGCTACTTCTTCTTGAACTACTTGAGCCGCATCTTCTTCAACAGCTAGAGCTGCTTCTTCTTGAACTGCTCCAGCTACATCTTTTTCAACTGTTGGACCAGCAGGTTGTTCTACTGGCTTTCTTGCTCGAGATTTCTTCTTAGGCGCAGCAACTATCTTCTTCTTACTGGTGTTGGTGGCTATTTTGGAGCTATCAGCATGTGCTGGTTGATCAGGGACTAGTGTTGAGTTTTTTTGTTGGTGGCAGTTTATGAACACTCTTCTCTACAGCCACCCTTTTTCTCTTCGGACCAGCTGCTTGCGACGTTGGTTGGATTCTTTTTGGTGCAGCTCTTGACTCTTGGCTTGGGCCAACTTGAGATATGAGAACCTCTAAACTCCTCCTAGGCTACAACAACATAATCATGGATGAGAAGAAGCAATATTGTCATAAAAGTGAAAAACTCAAAAGTGAAATGCATGAGATGTACAAAACTTACATGCAAAATAGTCATTCCAGTATTGAAGTCCGTATAGATTCCATAACCATATTGCCTTAATCTTCTGCCGAGGACCCATCTTGTTTGATATGGTGCCTCACTTTGAGGAACCTAAGCTGCTTGTTCAGTTGGTTTTCTTCTCAACTAATAAGGACAAAACAATGTCAACTAAAGCCAAAGTCTGCTCACTAAAGATTAATACAAATACATATAGCTTACTGGATATTTTCTCCTAGCCTGTGCAACAGTCGAGGAGGAGGTTACCCTTGAACCTGGGCCTCCGATTGGCTCTTCAGCTGGTTCTTGAACTTGGCCTTCAGCTAGACAATCAGCATGCCTATCAGCTGGTCCTCCAGCAGGCCTTTCAGCAGCCCCTTTAGCTGGTTCTTGTGATGGTGCTGCACTTGATCCAATTTGAGTCCCTCTACTTGGTTGTTAAAACAACTGATGTTGCTTCTTCAAATGACAACCACTTTTGTTGTGACCTACGTCACGACAATATGAGCATCTTATCTCTACACCTGACATGCTCATCTTCTTACTTCTGGGCTATCCCTCCTGCTTTCTTCGTCTCCTTTTAGGCCTTCCTATTTGTTTCTTAAGTGGCAAAGGATGAGGGGCTTTA